GCGAAACATTGTTTCGTTCATTCGTTTTGAAACCTTAGGTTAAAATCTTAGTTTGTACTAATCAAATCAAATTTGCTCCGTCATTTCCCGTCCGATGTGCTCGTAGCTTTAACTTCCGTCAATATTTCCATTCACATTGGTCATATATGTACATATCTCGCGTTATAGCGACCGGACGGAAAAACAAGTTCCCGCCACGTTGTCTATTTTTTTTTTTTTTTCAACGACGAAGCCCGTAATATCATCCCGTCCGTTCCGAATGAATTTCGCGGCCGCGACGAAACGGTTAAAGCGCGCACGGCCAATTTAAATCCGTCAGTCCACGGGGACGCGCGGATCTGTTCGAAGAGTAGCGGCGGGGGCATTTGAGTGACGTTTATCAAAACCTGCCGTTAATTTTCCGTTATTTATAGAGACGTGACGGCGGCGTGCTGCTTGCCCCCGTGACGTCGAATGTACCTGAATTAACTACTGACAGAAACGTTATCAGTGCAATCGAGCTGAACACGCTTGCCCGGCCCGGACCGTCTTTGCGCGTTCTATGTCCGTAATGGACGAACAATGCTGCCCAATGGGCGGTGTTTCGCGTCGACAATGACCACTAAGTAGACCACAATATCGCCCTTATGTATTCACAATTGTACTGTACTTGCCTCGAGTTTGCTGTGGCTCCCCTTGGTCGCTGACTTTAACATTCTGTCGATGATTTCAGGATTAATTGTTGAATTTTGTGAATGATGATAGGGGTTGTAGAACATTTGTCCTCTGCAGTGGCGAGGATGATTTTCACTTCTGGCCAACAGTACCGTTCCGTATTTGATCGGATCGATCCTCATCCCCTTTTTAATACCGCGATAGAAAATAAATGATTGTATACTTCGAGAGATTCTATCGGCTTATGATTAGTGGGATTAATGGCAGCCTGGGTCAGGTGCAATATGGATTTACTATATTTCGAGGAAGTCTGTTCATTACTTTGTTTTTTTATTTATACGCTTCTTACTTATTTTCTTTTTAGTCTCGTTTGTGCGTTATTATTATTAATCTTGATAGAGTGTTCCATTATTTTCTGGTTCCTTCAAGCTTGGAGGGTATATGACTTTAGTGACTTGGAGACATTGTTATTTTTAATTATCCAACTATAAATTTTAAATTGGTTAGTTTTAATTTTAGCCTTTTATTTTCTGACAGTATTGTCCCACTTCTATTACAACCAGTATACCTAGAACCTGGCTAGGACTTATAAATATCTACTACTTCTTTAAAGTCCTCTAAGATACTATTAAATTTTATAACATCTTTAGCTAGTTCAATAAAAAAATAAAAAATACAAAATTAGCTAGTTAGCATATAATAAATACTGATTGAGACAAATACCATTAAAGATTAGCGATACACCGCAAACCTATAATAGATATTTAAAAAAAGTGATCATTTTCGTATATACAATTCTATTATCCAATGGCGGCGTGAACAGTGCTGACCTTCGACCACACTTATCGTATTATGCATATTCATAGATACCATTGTCCACGCAATTCTTTTTCTATCTATTACCCCTTCAAAGAAACCAACGACACTACATGACCACCTGCAAATTCTAGCATCAGAGTAATTTCACCTTTGACGTAAAACCCGTCGTTTTCATGTATCATTAATTCTCCATAATAATTTTCCGCATGAAAATACCCAGCCATGAATATCGAGAAATCGAGCAATTTCGAGATTTTCGGGATTAAAGCACGGATTTCGGAATCACCGACGTTTCCGAGGCCATCACGAAAAATGGGAAGCTTATTATGATTTTCGTCGAAATCGTGGCGTGAGCTTATCATTCGTATAGAAATATAAAATCCGGGAGATTGGTCTCGGATAGGGGTCAAGCTTGCCACTCACGCTCCTCCTCTGCAAAACGAACGCCCCGATTCGAGCAATCTCGTTGTCCGATACGCGCGTGTCCTGACGGACGGCGGATGATTGGATGCGAACGAAAGTTGCCATTTCCATTTCGCGTTAAACTCTGTCGACACGCTGTTGCGTAAATTTCCAGGTACAGTTTGACTGACAAGAGATATTCGCGAAGTGATACACGCCGATTATTTCTGTGACGTTGCTCACTTGTTTATGGGGCCAATATTATCAATCCGTATTTATTTAGGAAGCGTCTCTTTTATTTACTCGCTCATAAATTACAGAAGATAGGATGAAGAATACATCAGTAAATGAATATTATATATATGAATATTATGAATATTAAACCGAGTAAATTATGTTATTAAAATAAGCAAATGATAAAATATTGATTTCTTCAATTGTTTGTTTTGTGTTCAAACAATTGTCGCGCTATTGGTTAGAAATGTTCATTTATTACATTTTGTTCATTTACTGGTGAAATCTGTATTTTTCCTTTTTAATTTAATTAACCACATTTGCGCAATTTTGCAAATTGAAATCTATATGTTATAGAAAGGTATTGATATTAAAAAATCTATTTTTCATGGGCCAAATATTTATTAATGTTATTATCATGTAAAATTGAACTTTAATAGTTGCAAAATTTTTTAAGTGTCCGTTCATTGGTGTGTTCACTCTATGGAAAGGAAGTTTAAATTACTTTTATATCGTCTTTATTTGTCCATATATCGATAGGAACAAATTTTTTGGAGATTTTTATTGATACATGACTTGATTGATGTCCCAATAGAACTAATTAATGAAGTAACAATGAAATGAATGAAGTCCACTCGTGAGACAGTTGAAGAACGTGTCCCTCAAGTAGAATGACCCCTAGCATCAGACGTATTTCACGCATATTTTGCCCGTATCTCTTGAGCAATTAATAATTAATAACTCTGAATCCTATGAAAGTGTCCACATGTTTATCAACATTCTATGTAAATTTAAAACGGGTAATTTTTCACCAATTCGTGGGTATATATACTTAATTGTTTATGTATATACATATATTAAACCACTTCTATTTAATATGTAAAGCTAAAATTAGATTCGGTATTCATTGTTTCAACTACATCGGACCCAACAAAATGTTACCGTCTCGTTACGAACAGCCGATAGACGAAACGTTACATTAAAGGGTACCGTTCCGGACGAGTACGAACGTGGTAACCCAATTGCCTATCTCCGATCAAAGGGTTAATTCGTTTTCAATTATCCGCAACAGAATACCTGGCCCACCCGTTCACGTGTATGTACGCGCGTGTACCGTTGACAGTGACATTTACATTTGTTTATAGCCGTCTCGACAAGGGCGCACGGTGTTGTCGCGCCTCCTTTTTAAAACGTGCCGTCCGTTCACATATTAGATTAACGATTTAATGGATAACTCGATGAATGACTCTATGTATGGTACGTGTCGGTGCGTAAATTGAACAAATTATAGAAGAATGTCTTCGGTGTTGGTAGATGGACACCCTATGCACGTACACATAGCGACCGGCGTTGCAATAGGGTGCGACGGTTCTCAGCTCGTACGGGTCTCTTACCCGCTTCGATCTCCTGAACCTGTTAACTGGGTGTGACGAGTGAGCTCGTTATTGAAAAATGCTTCCATACACGAACAAAACGAATGAACTCGTCACTGAAAAACGCCTCCATAATTATTTGTTCTTTATTCTACGACGTGACCATTTGATTTTTTTCCATTTTGAGTATATTATAATTCTCAACACCCTTATCGTAGATAATATTATATTCACGCGAGTAATTTATTTAGTTCTTAATCTGGGACCACATGCCGTTTATTGGCTTTATTTCTCTGAACCTGTAACTACACGCACAGGTGATGTTTTTGGTCGATGAATGTTCGAGTTAATAGGTCGAGAAATATCACATCGTCTTGGAAGAATGATTTTTGAAAACAGAAAGGAATTATGTAATTGTACTATCTTATTTGATTATTAACACGTTTACTGCACAAATTTTTATTGTTTGGACAATATTATGGTAAAATACAACATTTCTCGTAATAATTGTTTAGAGTCGTTGACACGACTTTGCGATCACTTTTATTGGATGACCACCTACTCGCTCCTATCTTGGCCAGTCTATTGTCGACTAGAGCCACATGATGATAGAGATGATACTGTAACCATATGAGGGGGTTCACAAAGTGTGACCTTATGGGGGAACACTGTACTTACATCTATCGAGTTTCCTATTAGATACACCGTTCAACAAATTTTAATTTTTTTCGATTTTGTAACTTTTAATAGGCGTTTTTGATCGATCTTTATGAGCTGAATACGAATCTGGAAACCGTTTTTCCCTTAGTACGTACAATTCTTGAAAAAACCAGTTAAAATAAAACTGTGCAAATGTGAATAAACCGCGCAACTAACATTGCAAAAAGAGACCCAGGTGCATTTAAAACTCATCGGTAAACTATTATAACGACTTAATTAACAAACTAAGAAAACTTAAAATCCAACTACCCCTTCAAATAGTGAACCCAATTAATAATTACTGTCACATACTAATTATCAATAAATCGCACTGTACAAAATCTAATATATAGCATTATAATATTATGTACAGTATTGCAAAATAATTTCTTTCCAGAGATTCAAATAGCATTAAGCAAAAAAAAACTATTATAATCATTACTGTAGAAATTTCGTCGTGATCCTTGGAAAGACAAACTTGTGATCGTTCTGAATGACCCGAGTGATGTTTCGAACGGTCGGGTGGGTTACGACATGAGCATCCCTGAATCGCAGAATGGGCAACTGGTCATAATTACAGGCCAACATGTGTGCGTGAGGAGACAGCGTGCGTGTCCTCTGGCGGGTCTTTGTGTGCGTTCGAGATCGCGGGGACACACGATTCACCATCTTAAGACCAAGATCAGTGTCTCGTGAAAAGTCGAAGGGTTCACGCGCGCGCGCCACCACGCCGCGACTATCAACAATATTTCCTCTTGTTCGTGAGTTTCGCGGTTCGAGGGCTGTGGAACGTGTATACATCCGTTTTCCCCTTTTCAACATGGTGCTACTCGGTTGGACGCTTTGCATTTTCGTCGTCGGTGAGAGAAAAAAGCACAGGACGAAGGCACCAGTAAATGAACACGTATCAATGAATTAACGTTATACATAAAAATGAGTAAATTGAGTTATTAAAATGATCAAATATTGATTTCTTCAATTCATTGTTTCATATTCAAAAAATTTTCGCTCTATTGCTTGGATATTCATGTAGGTGCTGATTAATATTATTCATTCACTGGTGAAATTTGTATTTTTTTCCTATTAATTTTATTAATTACATTTTTTTAATTTTTAAAATTGAGGTTCAATTGTGTCAAATATTTATTACTGTTATTATCGTTTAAAATTCGACTTTAATAGTTACAAAATCATTTATTGATTTATTGATGCGTTTGCCTGACCATGCATTTTCTGATAAATGTTCGAGACCCATTTGCGTACAGCCACATTCGTTGCTCTGAAATATTATTTAATCTCTCAAGTACAACAGCAGATCCTCTTTTACTAAATGAGGACATATGTGTTATTTTGAATCCCTGTTATATAGGATAAGCGTGTCTAAGATCCGCCTACACAAATTCAAATCGTTCTCGATTGCCCTAATCGATATTTTTGTGTTTATTATAATTGATCTTAGATGAAAAAGAAACAGTTTTTGTTTTACGTACGGCAAGTTAAAATTGTTAAAAATCGGTAGATTTCCAAGTGTGCTTGGAAAAAGAACAGGACAAGCCAAAATAATGATAGTGAACAAGTGCACGTAACCTTTCAAGTTATACATATATACGTGTGTTTATTATTTTTTTTAATCATATGATTATTTAGAAGCCTTGTATGAAATTTTGTTTAACTGGACTATGCTTGAGAAATATCTTTATTATAAAAGTAAAGAAATACAATTTCAAAATATTTATGGGTGCCAAAAAATAAATACGTTAAAAGTTTAAGTACCCTAGATTATGCACATATCATTTTTTTAAACGATCTGAATTATGTACATATTTTTTTAAACTGTTACAATACCTTTACACACTTTGCAAACAAAGTTCTGTAGATTTACGAATTTCGTGTTCCTGTCAAATACATGCTGGCCAAGATACAAAAAAAAACTGTTTCCGTTAACAAAAATGTTGGAACCGATTAAATTGCGGAGTTATTCAATTAAATACTCCCACTGAATATTCATGCATTCGTAGAATTTCGAGGAATCACCTGCTCCCGATATGATGAAAAATTCCTGGAAAAAAATTCTAAACATTTCTCCAGTTCCTTTTTCAGCTCGAACAACCGTTTGGAAATTAGACCACCAAAAATGTCGGAAACGTTATCGATGCGAATCAGATCCTGGGGACACTTTTTCCACTGTCATTCCTCGTTGTCCTCTCGTTCCAAACCAGTAGTGACAGTCGACCCATCGCAAATCTCTGCCGGATAAAATCTTTGACGTTTGTGCACGCAGCGTGACGAAACCGCGCGCAGGTTCTGACTTTCGGTGGAAAATTTCACGCGACACCGAATTCCGCGTGTGTGAATCGATCCTTGGAAAAGTGTAAAAAAAGGATAATCAGACACCTGACGTATTCTCGCGACCCCGTGTTGTTCGAGCTTTTTATTCGCAGAACAAAAACGGTCCACCTTTATTCGATTGATTTAAATAAAAATTTTCGTTCTGACATTTACACCTTCGGTCCGTTATAATAAAGTTATTGAGAGTAATAATAACAGGTGTTGCGATCTAACGTAGTTCTAACCCTTTGCACTTGGAATTTCTAATTTTCCATTCATTTTGTCGCTTCAGAGGCGACAGTCGAGTACAAAGGGTTAATAGAACCTGTCTAACTAATACATTTCATGAAACATTATTAACCCTTAATTTTGTTCTCTGTCTAGTTTCAAAAACAATATTCATATATCTTTGCCTAGAACAACTCAGTACTTTACATTTTCAGGTTTCACATTATATTTCCCTTTTTTGGTTCAGTTTTTTTCCATCGCTCTTTTATTTTCCGTTTCTCCATTGTGCCGTCGTTCTACGATCCTTTTGTTTTCTCTCACGCATCACCTACAATCCGTTTTCGTTTTCATGTTGTATTTGTACTTTTGTACCTGAATCTGTCCTAATCCTACGGCAAACTAATAAAAAAAAATAAACTTATTCTATAATTGAAAATTTCGCCGTTTATTTCGGGGAACAATGGTCGAATAATTTTTACTATCCATTGTCCCTTATTCGAGGGCTCCGTAATCCGGATAATGAATTTACCCCCCGACTACGTTCTGAAAACGGTATATAGAAACCGGGACGAACGGAAATAAACGGGCAGAGGACACGCGAGGACCGCGTTAACATTTTTTCGTTTATAAACCGATCGGAATTTAAACCGTCACAATTATTTATTCAATTCGCCGAGGAACTTTCCCAATTTCCTCGGTGGCTCGGTGTTTAATTTGTTGCGAATTAATTTACTTCGAAACCGATTGTTTTCGCCCCTCCATCCTCTCCCTGATTTGTCTTTTACTGATTTACCACACGGCAAACTTCGTTTCGAAAATGTAGTATATTCTTAATAAATGGTAGGCTAAATGTGTTCTATGTATAAGAGTTAATGGTTCATCCCCACTATTGGGCTAGTCCTCCTTCGAACCAAGCAAGTATATGTAAAGGTACGTCTCCACTGATATTTGTAAACAGTTCACGAAAAGTACATACAATTGCTCTTTCTAGGGATCACCTATTCGTCCTACGGTAACTGACGTGTTCCCAATGTATACAGTTATCTGAGGCGTTAGTGATTATAAAAAGTTTTCGAAGTTCTTGCGAGTATTGTTTGAGAACAGTGTTCATGAATTGTTTGCCCGTGAATACGTATCTTAAAGGAGTATTCTAGTGTCGACGTCCCTTTTCAACAGCACTGTACTGGTAGTAGTACTACTCTAATGTATTATAGCAGAAGTAACAGTAGTATTGTACTACTTCTACAGTAGCAGTGCTCGTGGCAGTAGTAATGTACTGCAGTAGTATCAGTATGTTATTCGATTCTTGATGAAGTTAGCTGCAATGCTCGCGAAACGTTGGTATAATATTTCCAAGAGGGTATAGCTTACAGTTAAAAGCCTCAACAGTGATAATCGTATGATACAATTATATTTATCGAACCGTACTTATATGATATATACGATCACGAAGAAGGTTGCGATGCCCTAAATCCTTAGAAGAAGCATAGAATTCTAATTGGCCCCGACAAGATTACTAATACGATCGTGGAGATTATACCATAATGCTGAGATCGTCCATGATTCTCATTTTTGATGAACTATTAAGCCAATTACAGAATACTAAGTTTTATAATATCATTGAAATGATTTCTCAAAGAACTCATAGACGATTCGAAAGTATGCAGTCAAAGTTGGATACAGTTTGCAATGTACTAACGAGGGATTTTCGGTAACACGATAATTATGATTTTTTTTTAACTTTGCAGGTTTGTAAGGAATCTCAATAGAAGTAGGTGCATTAGGTAATTTATTTGTTCCTTTTGGGGTTCTTCAGGGTGAAAGCATCCCTTAAAGGTTAATATGTGTTTTCTTGTTTTTCAGTACATCCTGAAAACTATAGTAGATATGGAACAATTTTTGAAATTAAAATTCAATGATCAATGGTGCTCTATTAAATGATGCAATGAAATTGTTAAATAAATTTGTTAATTTATTCATTTGTTTATTTAAATGATACATTTTGTAAAGAATAAAAGGCCATTAAATTTCCTTTGTAACAATTTCTTTCTATCTGCTATAATTTCAGAGTTATACAGGAAAATATGAAAATCCACATTAACCTCCAACGAGTGTCCTTCATCCAAAAGAATGAAAAAGTAGCAATAACAAAATTGCTTGGTACCTCTATCAAGGGCACCCATAAACCTGCAAAGTTTAAAAAAAATCGAAATTTTCAGGTTCACAAGATCCGAAACTGCTGTTTCTCCACCATTTCCCTTCTTTTCAATGAGTTCTCCACGATCGTTACACCGAAAACTTCCAACGACTCCGTGAAAATCACGGCCCGATGTTCCACGCGTCGACGCAAAATCCCGTGTATACATAATGCATGGGAAATCTGCATTAAACTTTTCGCGTACGCGCCGCGCGAGACCGTGAATTCACCACCGGGGGACCAGAAAAGCGAATATTATAGCCTCACGACGATCTGAAAAGTAGAATTCCGAACAGCCGACAAAAATCGTACGGATAGGAAACTAGTTGAAACGGAAATGTGCAGCGAAAAGTTACGTTTCCTTGTTTTTAAGCAATTTTTTCGAAACGTTGATTAGTCAACTCGATTTCCGCTAGGGAAAAGTGGCGTACGGGAAGGGTCTCCTACCACTTGGTAAATTTATTACAAGTATGCTGAAGTAAATGTTCAACCCGAATGTTAATTTGGCATAAATTTCAGTAACTCCCAAGACCACATGGTAAGAGGCCCTTCCCCTACGCCGCTGATTCCCCTAGCGGAAGCTGAGTTTGCTCGTTAGTGTAAAGGGTGTAAAGAAACTAATGGTAATGGCGTTAGGGAATGAATCTCACATCCCTGGGACATTGGGGACATTTATAAATGGAACTTGCTGCAAAATTGTTTATAACATTGAGAATTAATATTAAATTTTTATTTTGTACCAACACGTTCTTTTCATTGAGAAGAGAAGTTAAAAAGTAGCCATGTACTAAAAGCTTCAAAATACATGAATTAATTTTCCAGGTAGACGATATTATGCGCACTCTTTCATGATAAGGATTTTTGCTTGTTCTGTTTTTTAAAATCGTGATTGAAATATCTTTAGATTTTGAACAGTTCCAACCTGTCGTACATGAAACACCCAAAACAATTTCCCTTTCTTATTCGAAAGTAATGTCAAGTATAAAAATATCGATTACCCGTCAAACGAGAATGATTTGAATTTCGATAGGCGGATATTAGGCGCGGTTACTCTACATCTCGACTAACGGTGGCGCATCCTTTGTTCATCAAACAAATAATCCGTTGTTTGCAGGAACTCGGGCGGCGGTGAACAACGGCTTCAAAAGTTACCCGACAACGGTGAAGACCTTCGAGAACGATACGGTTCTACTTCCGTGTTACGTCGAGGACCTTGGTAAGTTCTTCGAGTAAATCTCTCGCTCAGGGGAACGTCTTTCGGGACGCGACTGATTTCACTCGATATGGCGGGACCGTGAACTTCAGCGAATCGGCCAAGACCGAAGACGTCCTTGGGGATGTTAATTGATTGCGGTTTAATCGAGACCTCAGGGGAAGTTTGTCCGGCTAGATATCGATAAACTGAACGTATAAATAGGGGAAGGTTGCTAAATTTGGATCATTAAAATAGTTTTTATTCTAGGCTGATCATAAAATGTTTCCCTCAACGAAAGTTGAAAAGTGTCACTACTTATGTCTTCAAGATAATGTAATTTATTTTCTCACGATATAATACAGAAAGGTAGTTTTTTATGATTGTGGCATCGGGCCAATCGAAGCGATTTGTTTCCGAAGATTCTTTTAGTTTCCAAAGTTGAACAATTAGATTAAAGTGTAAAGATTAGGTTTTCTTAAAAAGAGCTATAAAAAAATCATTAATATAATTCGCAAAATCTGGTAGTAAAAGAGTTTGCTCAATACATTTTGCCATTATGAATAAAAACGTCAATAATTTGAGCAATAGTATTCTTGGATTTTTGCACTGTGACTCAAAGGAAAGAAGAATCACGGGAGCGAGTAAAAAGATCGTGGTTCGCTCTAGCTCTCGGTCAGAACGTTTGTAAACAACCATGTCACCTGTTGCGCCTCGTAAACTGTTACAACGATTATATCTTTAGGTTCTTTACGGTACATCTCACTGGGGAATCTGGATTCTGTTTTCCTTTGAGGAAAAAGATTTCAAACCCAAAAGATGTATTAGGTCGTTTGAAACATCTATCTTTCATGAAATCGCCGAGCCACGGCGTGACTGGAATGGATTCGAATTGTACCATTTAATCGGTTACAAATCGACATCATTCGTAGGGAAGACAGTTGTGGACTTTGTAATAAAGGTCTATATTATCAGGAATATGTATTGCATCGTGTATTTCTATTGTTCATTAACATGTTGACTGTCACAGTGAAAAAGGCCGTACATGGTCGGACACACTTTATTTCGTCATAAATCATCGAAAGTATATGCGTTCAGTTAATAGTGGCTGTTAGTTTCTTTAAATTATACTGCGATATTAATTTTACACAAAAATTTTGTGACGATATTTAAATAATCTAGCCTTTTTACAATTTACGTGTCACCCATATTTGGGTGACGGGGCAGTCAAAGTGTTAATGATTATCATTTTCTTGGATACTTAATTTTTCAAGTACGTAAAAGTCCAATTCGTTTTTATTTTTCTTTCCTGTAATTTACTGGTACGAACAATTAACTTTATTTTATTCAGGCTTTATAGGTTTTTATAATATCATAAAACAAATTTAATCCTCGAACCTTTTGGTTGAAACGTACGGTTAAATAGTTGGCTACCAAATGACCATGCGCTTTCGAGATTTTAACTAAAAGTTCAGTTGCGGTTTCAGAGCGTCTGAAGGCAACTGTATCGTCAAAGCCACACGAACTTTCTGACCAACTCAATATGTGCAACTACGTGTACAGTCCCTATGAAGCACAATTTTGCCATTTTAGAACTTTGAACATGTCATTTGTAAAAGAATTAAGAACCTTGTAGCAAGAGGAAAGCAGATCCATTTTTGACATATTTTTGCCTGCCTTCTTACACTTCCTTTGCTTTTTCTACAACCTACCAATCACATTGACGGCAAACAATTATGCATTCCGAATTCCTTGAAACTTATAGAATAATATCTCATTAAGAGTTCTGGTATCGGAAGAATCATAAATTTGACTACTTTTCACCTTTGAAGAATTCGCTAAAAATTGAAATAAAAACTTATCAACTGAATAATTACTAATTATTGCGCGAAAAACATATATTTACAATTACTACCTTCTTTTTAATAATAAATCAAAGCAATAATTATACAAGCAGATTTTGTTAATTTCCTCAAGTCCCCAATTTCTGTATTACAAGTCGAAACACCCGATAATCGGTGGTCATAGCCACGTTAAAATCAAGAACATGGGTCGGAATTTCGGCCAGGTGATCGATACTAATTTCCCTAAGCAGAAACGCGTCCGTCGGATCGCGACACTTGTACACAGGTACAGGGAGTGCAAACCATTTGTCGTACAATCGATCCAAGCTGTCATCGGTGGTCTCCTTTAACGGGATTGCCTGTCAGGTTATCCGCTGTACCTCGTCGCAACTTCGACATGAGGTCATGTACGCTAAGACGATCAACGATTGCAAGATCGCCGTGGATTAAGGACTTGATACGGATTAAGTACTTGGCCCTTCGGTCCCCGTCATGAGCACGAACTTTACCTCCCCCTCGGTGAACTATGGCCTCGACACCCTGTCGGGGTCGGGATTAAGGCTGGAATCAGGTCGAAGGAAGAACACTTAACTGACTCCCGCGGTTACGTATCACTTCGGAGCTCCGATAAACTGCAGGTTGACGCGCAGTCTGTTCGGGGAAAAGGGCAAGAGTAGGGGAACAGTCATTGTTAAACTCCGCCGCGATTTAAGGAGTCCGGGTTATTTGGCAAAGTCAATTTGTCTTAGCTTTTAGAGAACGGGAAGCTTATTTCTAGGTTTTAAACTGTTTTCAATTTAAAATATCCTACATGAGGGCTTTTCCGGTCGTTGGAATCAAATTTCATTTGGGAATTAAATTTCGACAGGTCACAGCTGTTAATATTATTAATAGCTAGATAAGTGTCGCTGTTTTTATGTAGTCTTTAGATATTATTTTCTTACTCCACTTTCATGTCGGTGATATTTGTCGAAGCGTTCATGGGTCGTAAATGTGATGTCTCTGTGTGTCATACTTTGTTTCGAAATACAGTAACTCCTCTATGACTGTTCGAAGGCTCCTCGGCAATGAGTGTTCAGACGTCATCCCCACCACTGGGCGCTTCACTGATTCCACGCCTCCTCTCCTCCAGTGGCGGGGATGACGTCTGAACACTCGGTGCTGTGTTGTCTTCGAACACTCATCGATAATTTACTGTATATCGAAGATTGAAGTTTCCTCTGCAATAAAGCTCTGCCACGGATGGTATGTACTTACACACAGAACGTGGTTAATTTTGTTTTCCTATTGAAGCCCTCGTCGAAAGTATACCACCCGGGTAAAGCAAGACCGGATAAGAGAGAGTACTGTATATCGTGTTCAAAAAGGGACTACAGATTGCTGCGGAACGTTACGAAAGCGTCTCAGCGAAAGCAATTGAACCGACCGAACGGATTAACTGCTTTTGCCTCGCGGTGATTGAAAAGTGTCTTTCCTCCATTCGTGCATTCAGATAACGTGCAGACCAGGGTGAGATGGTGGAGGGACGGAATCCTTTTGGCTGATAGCGGTGAACCACGACACGTGTCGCCCGAAAGAGTTCGAATGTACACGAACAGGAGCCTGGAGGTCTCCCACGTGAAACGGAACGATACCGGGGAATATGTGTGCCAGGCGTCTCGACCCGCTCCCTGGGGACACGCCACGCAAGTACACGAGATCGAAGTGATGTGTGAGTACATCAGCGCCTGAGCTATAAGCTTTCCTCGTTTATCCTGTTTATCCTGCAAATACCTGGTCCTCGTATCAGCCTGGATTTCCTAATTTCGAACGGCTCGAACATCCCGTGGATGATCGGTGCCCACGAAGCTTTCGAAGAGGATTCAGGATGTACAGGATAAACGGGAGTGAGCAATCTCTCAACGAGAAATTCTTAACGGGGGACAAAACGTATTCGTACGGTAACATCTTGGAAATAACGAGAAGTACATTTTAAAATGGAAAGTGTTATGAATCTAGACCTCCTTTATTCGTGTATCATACGCATTGTACCAGTAATAACATAAAATATAGAAGAATAAAGTTGCTTATACTATTGTCTGTGTATAATATACGAAATGTACGAATACTTTTGTCTCTCACTGAGGATATAAAAATGAACCTATTGCCTTAGGATACCTTCAGCAGATAAGTACGTAAGAATTACTTTATCCAATCTTCAACGAAAAGTGATCATTTTATCTATTCTCAACTGACTTCTTCGCAACAGACTCCCCAGCTTTCCGACTGCATCCAACAGTCATGGTATTCCATGTATAAATTCCTAACCTAAAACTTCTTCAGTAAGAAGTAAAAAATCACTCGGACTCGCATTGTGCTCTAAACGGTTTAATAGCACTACTGTATCGTCCGTTTAATTATAAAAAAATGGTTACAGAACTGTATCACCTTCAAACTATAGTGAATCATCGATGGGTGTTCGAAGGCTCCTCGGCACTAAACATTAAATATTTCATAAACTAAGGGTCATATGCGCGTGAAACAAATAGCATTACTCCTGAGGACCTCTCCTTGTCAGTGCCGAGGAGGCTTCGAACACTCATCGATGATTTACTGTAGTCGTAAGAAAGCCTCCTACTCTTTTGTAAATCATTTCTGGAAGCCTTCTACCCACGAACGTATTCAAGGCTCTACGAAGAAACTCACTTCGACGTTTTGGCCCACGAGAATTAATAGGACAGGTCGCAATAGTTTGGCAATTTCGCCGCCGTTTTAATTGCTGGCCTGGAAGAGCGCAACGAGGCGCGGCAATTAATTGTGATCGATAACTTAAAACCACCGTGCGCCGAGTGGAAAGAACGAGGCGGGTTCCCCTCCACCGTTGAACGAATAGGTATCGATCCAATCGGCGTATCGTTGTCCCATCGTTAAATTTGTTGGACGAGCAGAGCCTTCGAACCTTCCGTCGTTCCGCAAACAAATTCCGAGAAGTTTCCCCGACTATCGGAATCCTCCACGGAGTTCTTCCCAGCCGCGAGGATTTCTGTGCCATCTCGCGGATCCCGCTACCTTGTGTAAAAACAAAGAAAAAGTGTCCCCGAACCCGAACCATGATCCTCCGCGAAATCGAATTTTTTGCGGTTTCTACCCGTGTCCCACGGGACCGGAAACGAGCGTTCTTCCACGGCAAGTCATGGATGGGTTGGATAAACTTCGTGAAATTGGGTTTGCTTAATATGTACATACTTACACTCACGTTCATAAGTGTTAGGACATTGTTACAAGGCATTAAGGAATTGCTGTAAACCTGAAGTAAATATTGTTTAGGGGATATTGAAGCTAGGTGGACAAGGTTTATGCTAGTATGAAGTTATAAAGGTGAGCTGAAATGTACACTTTTTACGAAATATATTTTCCTTACATAGACCAAGTGTCGTAATACTCATGAGTGCATTTAGGGGTGGGGGCGATAGGGGCGCTCGTAAGAGTAATAAAATGTAAAAATATTATGTTACTTATACTTGTAAAAGTTGGTTCAAAACTCCCACTCTTAAAAAAGTTTCATGGATCCGCCACTATGAGCAGTAGTGAACATAAGTGTTAGAACTCAAATGTGAGCCAAATTTGAACAACCATTAGACAATTACTGATGCTGTTGAATACGTATCGTCTAGGGTCTAGAGAATATTAACCCTCCAACTTACATAGATACCTGTATGTGCCGCCTTTTATTTGGCTTGTGACATAGTGAAATTGAAATCGTTACAGGATCTATTGTACCTTAGGTGAGGCGTTTAGAATCTTTTCAACATTTTAGTTCATAAAATACGCGGTAGGGGCTCTAGTTTGATTCATATTTTACAATAAATTCACAATAAATATGTTTCACAATATCTGACGAAATGATTTGTTTATGGCAATAAGTGATAAAAAATTAGCAAAATTATCCATATCGAATTACTATTTAAGCTACGGGAATTTGAAGATTAAATTTCAATAATTAATACTTCAATTTCAACATCCAATCTTGGAAATGGTGCAAAATGTGCAATCTCTGCGAAATGTCACATCTTCACCAGTCGAAACAGGTGTCCTAATACTTACAACAGGAGTGTACATATTAGGTGTATAAATAAGTGATCCACTTTTTTTTGTCAGATTCATTTTTCACAATTTATGCATTGGTTCCCATAAATATTTTTATTTATTGTCGCATCTTTCCGGAAAATTGCGTGTTCCAACTCAGAAGACAGATTGTTTTTATTCGTGGAAAAGTCGCCAAGCCCTTTTCCTTATTTCGTCCACATTTCTCAAGTTATTTTTCAGATAAGGAGTGTTGCATCGATCGGAACGGATGATAGTCTGTTATATCTGGCGGACACGCCGGATGGGATGAAACGTCTCACGCCAAGTTGCAGCAATGTGTCCTCTGGTCAATTTCGCCGCGCGAGGTCTGGCATTGTCGTGCAACAGTTTGACAGGCCGACTATTTTTCCTTGTGAAATTTCGGTCTCGTTCCGATTCCTCGCGGTAAACTTCGATTGCAATCTTGCTGTTCCTGTTATTCCTAACCGTGATGCAAGTTTCTTTCGACTTTGCAAGCTGCCGGAGCCCTGCGTTTTCTCGCTTTGGAGGTCGAGCTGAACGCTGTCGACCATCGGAATTAAAATCGCTGTCTTCTAAATCGTTTAAACCACAATTTTTCATACATCGACACGATATTGTCAGCAAGAAAACAACAAATCGTTTCGCACCATTATGAACCCATGTTAATTTCATTGAGCTTTTCTGTTATTTCTAACTATGTCAATGTAATAATTCCATAAAATGGCTAGTAAAGTAGCTCGAATTTAAATTCCATGTTCACACGTATAAAACGATAGTAAATTGTTTATTTTCTGAAATAATATTCCCTGACTTTGAATAGAAAATTCATACTGAATTATCTCGAAAACGAAGCAAGCTACGAGAAACGTTTATCCTATATTTTCCTTTTCTGTTTTCGTATAGTATCACCAGCTTTCCACTTGTACCACCAGCTACGAAATATCCTAAACAGCACACTTTTCTTATCTCCCTGACGAGATTAAGCATTTGAAGCACGAATATTCAATTAAGCTCCTAACGAGATAGCGGTCGTTCGTTTCACTCGAATGCATTTTCATAGATTCTATTAATTTCGAATGATCGCGAATGAGCCAGGAGTAGAGGCCAGATTCGTATCTAGTTATCGACCGCGACGGTGACGGACAGATGAGAATGGTGCAGAGCCTGTACATATAACGGAAAACGTTACTTGCAGACCCGCCTAGCATCCGTCCAGTGCCGGAGTCCGGAAAACTGGAAGTTAATTTGGGAGAGGAAGCGGTTTTGGCGTGTGTGTCGAAAGGTGTTCCGGTCCCTATCATATCCTGGATGAACCAGGTAATCAATATCTTTCAAAGTCGACCGACGAACAAAAATTTTTCAGATTCATGAGGAACATCTAACACCCGTCGACTGTTTTTTATTGACACGTTTTCACGTTGAATTTCGAGCTACGATGATGTACAGGGTGTTAATAAAAACGTGGTATACCTTCACTGGGTGGATTCTATTCGTCAAACTAAGAGAAAAATCAAGATTGACGAAATTGCTTTCGAAACCTCGTTTCTGAGTTATTAAGTGTTGAAAATATAGGAGAAATTTCTTTCTCACGGTGGATTAATATTTTTTATAACTAATACACGGTGTCAATCGACAAAAGTAGAATCAGCTCCGGCAGCCAGTGTGTTAACCCTTGTATATTGTTTGAATAAAATTATGTCTAATATTTATGAACGGCTGTGTGTACGCGAAGGAATACAGTGTATAATTAAAACAATACGTCAAAAGCAAGCGATATTATTTTTGTTATCGACAGAACGGTGAGATACCGACTTTACATGACGGATCGCATCTGCGATTTCACATTGACAACCCTATCCTCGCTGGCCGTTACACTTGCGTGGCGAACAACGACGTCGGCGAACCCGCAACAGCGAACATAGACCTATACGTCCGATGTAAGTAACGATTTCTGCTTAATTATCCGTGTGAAATTGTTTCGTAACTGTTGCATCGGACTCCTGTCGACACCAGTTTGATTAAAACTTAATTTCGTTAGATTTAATTTACTCACACTGACGGATTTTAACTACAATTTGCGGAAACAATGTTTCCTGTAGCGTGGAACGCTGGGTCCAAATACTGTTTCACGGTTCTGTGCCAACATTGTCCCGTTTCCCTTCTACTACCTCTGGGAGGAAGTATGTAATCGAAAAAGTTAACGTGATTAGTGAATGTTGGAAAAAACTGGAAGACAAATGAGATGCGGAATGTAATATAAATTTTGTAACTTCCAATTGTTGTAAAAAGAAAAATATTTGCGATATCGGCTTAAATGTGGTTTTTCATTACACGTCGTTTGTTCAAAATACATTCCAAAAGATGACCCTAAAATTGCTTGTCTAGACCAAAATGTTCGTACAGAAAGTTCCCGAATTTTTTCAATCAGACCTCGTACGTACAACTGCGTAGAGGTGCAGACGTGTTCTTCACGGTGCACCTACGTGTGCTCGACTTAATTGGCGACTTTGCATACGTCCTCCTGTGGCGCGCGGAAGTAATCGCGGACAGCATCCTGCACGCGCTCTTAAACGATCGTAATTAATTTAGGAAATTGTCTGGCATTCGCCCCCTTTAGTATTCCGATCAGACATCTGCACGATCTAATTACAGCCACGCGACGTTCGGATGCGTCGAATCACTCGACGGCTGATAGACTGGGGATTATATGCATTTGTAGCATATACGACTGTGGGATATATGATGAATAATAAAGTTAACATCAAGTCTGTCAATTCTGTTTTATTGATGTTATAATGCAATTTTTAAGAAATTATAGAAATTCCAATCTTCACATCTACCTTTTACAAATCACTTCGAAAAATGTTATTTTTTATGAAGTTCTGTAGTCTACTGATGAATTTTCGTCCCACGAGATAATTGACGTCGATCCTCCTGACACAAAATCGACGACGTCAAAAACCACCACCGTCCGCGAATCCACGTTCTGACAGCAATTAGCCGGCGGGATTGTTCGAAATAATTTGGCGATTAGGCGTGCCGTGATATTAATTGTCGAGACTATTGGATAATTGAATGCGTCACTGCGCTGATGTAATCGCGATCCTGACAGTACACAAGCCTGAATGGAGACGACGATGGTACACTATAATGAAGATTTTCTCGCGAAGAATTTGCTACAGGTTCAATAACATAAAGTTCGCTTTGATCTATTCAGAGAAGGTATGCGTTCATGTTGCTTCATTTTGCAGGCGATTCCAAGTTGTTCCGCTTTGAATGATTTAATTGGAATTAAATGATTAAATGGAGAATAAAATGTATTCTTTAAGAGAGGAGAATGGAGAATACAATACTCTGTTTCAAGATCTATTGAATCGACTTATAAATAGTAAATTTGGAGAATATTTCAAAATAAATCGTGAATTTAACTAGTGGGCATGGTCCAAATATTGCAATGTCTATTTGTCACATTCAATCTAGATCAGAGATGGACAAACTAATTATCTAGATAAGAAGTTTCGAATAACGAATAAAAGATAAAAAAGTATTTAGTTATAGTTAAACGTTGAAATTTCAACATGTGTCGAACAATTATTTAATCTCAATAACTGTTTAAAGCTCAGAACAACGCCCTTAGATACTGTTGCTTTTTAGTGTGTATTATTCGAATAAAATTCTGTTCAACTCTGCTCTAGATGAATTATCCGCGTTGGATATCCAAAAGTATAAATTCGCATTTAGACTGTACGAAATCGAAACTACGTGTCTTTTGAAAGAAATTATAACTATTTCCTTGAAACGTCGTTTGATCAATTTTTCCTCTTTTTTACATCGATCCTGCACTTCACCGAATCGACCGACCAAATACACACGCAGACAAGCCGAAAATCGAGGTGGCAGAAACCTGGATCCACGCGCCGCCTGGGATCCGTGTGCAATTGCATTGCGGTGTGACCGCTTGGCCAGAGGCGAAGGTGAGAGCAGTTTTTACAAGACAATTAACAAGACTTAATTACTAACCCGGTTATTAACACCTCGAACAACAATGTACACGACTCGCGAAGAATGAAAACCTAGCTACCCAGTTAGGCACTCACAATCTCGTCTTTCGTCGGACTTTTAATTACTTTCGACGGTGCTTCCGTTTTCGGTTTCGATAAGTTTCCAGGCATTGATGATGGGATTCGTATTCTTTGCCCTGGGCTTATTCTGTTTATATTATTGGGTTGAACAAAAAGTAATCTCGTATTTCTGCAGTAGATGATGCTTTTTTTTTAATACAAAACACTGCTCGTAATTACTAAAATATACATATATTACACATATTTTGAAAGCTGACAACTCAACATGTCGTTTAAGAAAGAAGGCATCACGATTGCTTGAAATTTTCTTGTATTGACCTTGTTTTGAAAATCAGTGACGAGAAAGTGTACTTTCGAGAAATTATGCTTTTTTATTTCCGAAAAAGGAAAATGCGGTATAAACAAAACAGAAATGATTTTTTGAACATAAGAAAAAGCTTAATTGCTCGAAAGTACAGCTTCTCGTCGTTTATTTTCCAAACTAGGTCAATTCAAAAACATTTCACGCAATCGTAATGATTTTCCTTTTAAATGACGCGTTGAATTGTCAGCATTCAGAATATGTATATATATTATTAGTTAGAAGCAATGTTTTGTATTGAAAAAAAGCATCATCTACCATAGAAATAGGAGATTTATTTTTGGACAACCTAATATTAACCCTTCCGCTCCCACTTTTGGGCATATCTGTCAATCCTGAAAAGATCCTCAGTGTCGAATCTATTAGTCATCCGAAAAAGTGTCATTAAACTTTCGCTAAGGAACGATTTTCTTTCAGGAACAATATATAAGAAGATGTATACGAGTTCGGGGAACCCCTTTACGTTAGGCTTCCGCGTGACGGCTCAGGTCTCAGAAGTTCTAGGGTTAATCAATCAGGTCTAAATTCGACGAAGCGGAATCACTCGACTTGTTCGATTAAAGCTTCGTCGAAGTGGTTGTGATGATCCCCCTCCCCTCCTACCCAGCTACGATACACGAAATCTTCGAGAGCGATTTCTCAGCGTTAACCCCTTCAAGCCGGTAACACGTGACAAATCGATTCGCGAGGAACGTGACCCGCCGACGATTCTCCACGCGGAAAAGTATATACCTGGTAGGCCTCAATTCCACGCTGACTAGGCGTTCTTCCAGATTCCTCGGCGGCCAGGAAAAGAAAAGTCCGATAAATACTGACACTTTCCTCGAATCATGTCGCCATGCGCGCTTGACGACTACCCCTTTAACAAGCAGACTGCGGGCATTTTTCATAAAAATGGTGGTTTTTTTGGCAGAAAATGTATGTACATATATAAAATGTGCAGTGAACTGAATTTCGAGTTTTGTCAGTGTCCCAAAAAAATATGTTCGACAGGGTACGGTAGTAAAACAAAAAATTTTCTATTTTTTTGTTTAAAGTATTTCTGGGGATTTTTTATATCGCTGGTTACGATTCTGAAGTTAGATTTAAAATTTTTTTAGAGTATAAGGCCTTCTTGCCAACGTAGGAGTGGATGAGCAAATGAACATATGCATTTTATGGAACTTTCCTTCAGCATTAGCCATAGCTAACGAAATGGAGAAGTTATAATTAAATTTTTTTATTTCTGTTTTCTAGTAAATATGTGCGCACATATGGCGTATAAAAGCGGAACTATATATTAACGATGTACGGAAAAAGTGGCGAGTATATCAATTTCTTTTGTTCCTTTTTTGCTTGGTTTGAGCGACAGGCAGCGAGATCCTCTAATTGTTTTAAGCAGTGTCTTCTTATTAACAGTCGCTTCTGGAACAGTTTCAACTCCTGCTAGAAACTTGTTTAGCATGAATGCAGACAGACGTTTAAATTTAACATGCAAAAGTTGTATTGCTTGGGGGTCGGATTGGTCTGTTTCGAAACTTAAAAAAAACAGTAGAGGCAGGACAGTTTTTTGCATGACCGCGTGGAAATTCTGTCTTCCGCAGGTGGAGTGGTATTTCAACAACAGAAGCGTGAAATATTCGTCGAGGATAGTGAAGCACAACTCGGGCCGCGATCACAGTTTGGTGATAAGGAACGTCAGGACGACGGATTACGGTTTCTACTTGTGCAGGGCTTCTAATTCCATAGGAATCACCGAGGCGGTGGTCGAGTTATCAGGTATTGCGAACCCAGCCGTCTTCAAAAAGATCTCGCACGGTCCCTCCAAGTCCTCGTACGATTTCGTCTGGGAGGTCTACAGTTACAGTCCCATCGACCAGTATGAGTTCAGGTTTCGAAAAATCAAGGTAAATCATTTGAACACTTTTTTAGCAAATATAAACAATAATTATTGCAACGCGTGTAAGGTAAATCTATGTCTACACTGAAGCAACAACGAGGAAATTTTTAGTGAGGACGTGGCTTTAGGTCCGTACAAAGTGCATTTTCACGCGTTCAGTCAGTCAAGTTTAGTTTATATTCTCTCTTAATTCGTTTGTGAAAACTAAGTCTCAAATGAAAAAATGTTATTTTATATTTTCGACTTATTTTTTCACGTAGAATCAACCTCTACCCGGTTGTATCACCAGTTACGGGACACCCTGTATATCTCCTAAACATCTGAAATAAAATTCCTTATTTTCCCTCTGACACTTGATAAATGTCCAGAAAAGTACCCGTATCGATTAGCACGAGTTTAATGTCCATTTCTCATGAAATATTAAGTATCCAGCATGCTCCGTGTATTTTATTCATTAGAAATTCAATTCTCGATTAATGTTCCACGGTTCCCCGATCAGAATGGCGTTCCCGGCCAATGGCACACCCTCTACATACCAAATGGCAGCGACGGCTACAGTTACGTTCATACGTATTCATTCGTCCTGACCGGGCTGGAAGAAGCGACTCACTACGAGGCGGTAGTTTTGTCGAAAAATCGTTACGGTTGGAGCAAACCCTCGGACATAATGCGTTTCGCGACGGAAGGCGCTCGTAAGTAATAAATAAATTATTGTCGCGAGAATTCCTATTCGACTAGGTTCCGCTGGTGTTCACCAATTAAAAATGATTGGTTCCAGCCGACGAGAACAACTATGTGACTAACGCGATACTGGAGGACAAGATAATTCCTGGTAAGGGTTGAATCATTTAATAAAATTCTTGCTTAATGTACAAGTTCGCTTTCGACGTAAAAGTCGTTTTCTTCCTTCGCCACACTTCGAGGCCAAGTAGTTTAACCTCATTCGTACTTGGGAGGCTACGTACCATCGACACGCCGAGCAATACTCCCGATTTCGAGATCTTTTCTGATTAAAGTAAATCGTAATGAAAAGTAAATTTTTCTAGTGTTCTAAAAAGTGTACCGAAATTTAACAATGAGTTACGTTTCGTTATATAAGATTCGAAAGTGATGATAGACACAACAATTTTATCAGAAGCAACCCTCGACGTGATCGAGTTAACATGGAAATCAACAGTGAATTCTTAAAGTGGAAGAATAGTTCTTTCTTCAGACTGTTTTTTATTATTCTTATAAATTCATGAAACAACGTATGTAGCAAAGAATCGAGCGCTTTAAATTAACCCTTGAATGCCTAAACCCTTAAATTGTTATTTCAAAATTTAAGAGACTGGTATATATGTTGTATCTCGTTATTTTGAAGTCGAAAATGTCGATATTAAACAGACTTACTTTTTTTTTCATTTTTTTTCCTTTTTTATTTATTTTTGGAGGGAATACTTGAATTTTTCAACTGAAAATGTGAAGATCTACTTCACATCAGTGAAACTACGGATCTTTGAAAAAAATGAGATATTAACCGACGACAGAATTTGACACATTTTTAGAATGAGGCGGTGCTAAAGGGTTAAACAGCTACCACCTCGGGAAAAATAAATATATTCTAAAAATTGACTGAAATGAAAAAATGTGTTTTGGCTTCTTAGGAAAGACACCCATGTTTGAATGTGATCTATAGTTTGAAATTTCGTTAACAGTGGTACAACTTGCATCGATGTCGCATCACTCTACCTTAGGCGCCGACAGAAGCGGGTCGACACTCAACCGAGTAGAAATGATGATAATGATTCCTGTATTATATATGTTTAGCGTAAACCTCTAAAATTTTCAATTATTTCTGTATAAAGTAAGCTAGACTTAGGGGATGGAGGCTACGTTGCGTGGAGAAGTAAGGGAAGAGTATTGGAAGGAAAACAATTCGTGTCCTATATTAGGATAAAATTTCGTAGAATAAGGTTGATAAGCTTTAAAATTGTAAATAAAACTGGATCAATAATATTTTTCACATTATTATTATACATTGTATATTTAGGAGTACTTTCAAATTGTTTTTTTTTTTCATTGGAGATAATGGATACCGTTATCATTTGGTTTAGGTACAGACAATTGTACAATATAACTTCCATTTTAAATGTAGAAGATATATGATTGATCCTTGATGTCTGTACACTGACGGTAAGATCTAATTCCATGTTTTGCAGTCATTTACGAGGGAAATTTAAGACTAATGTGACGTGTGCTTATTTTTCAATTATACTAGACATCTATTAGAACATTGCTAAACCATATCAAGACTAGTTCTTAATATTAATTATGTAAACTTTGCGAGAGTTGAGTCACATTCTAACAATGCAAGGGTTTAGAAATAAAAATAATGTGAATACCGACATATAGACTACATATTACTAATAGTGTTTATTTTACATTTGCATTTATACACGAATTCAGAGGAAAAATATAAACTAAATAAACGCATAAATCTATGTATTATGTTTCCTAGTATAGTATTATGTTTTCCTACGTTAAATAATAAAGACTTCCGTAAACCAAGATGCGTTACTTAAATTGTATGTACTAATAATTAGCATAAACGCTGTTACGACGCATTTTGCGCCGTGCCCCTTCCGGCCCGAAGTTTGACTCGAGCGCGGAAGAACCGAGAAACGGACCACCCCTCCGCCCTCCTTGCTCGCGCGAAATAACATCCAAGCGCTCCTGGAGGATTTGTAAGGGAAATACTGCCGTTAGAATCCGAACTAATCACGTGGTAATCTCGCGCCGAGTTACCGCTCGCGATTACAGGGCCGTCACGATAGGGGTCGAGGCAAGGCGAAGGACGCGGTATCGCCCGTACCCACCGACTATGCTTCAGGGACCGCCCCGGAATCCCGTCGAGCGGTCGCTCGATCGGATATGCCTGCCCTCGCAGCGAGCACTGGCTTCGAAAGGCGCTTGGTCGGCCGAGGGGGCACCACGAAACCACCCACCGGACAAGGATCGGCGACCCGGACGTCTTCCTCCACAGAAGGACCCCACGATGGAGTCAGGGGGCAGGGAACCCATGAGGAGTCGCAGCAACCACGTTGGAGGATGCAAGACTGGGCTCCTCACACAAGGGAAGCGATCTCCGTGGCCAGGGGATCCTTCCTTGGCGTGTCGTCCCTGGGCCGAAGGAGCACGGCTCCGCAGGAGTCACAGGTGGTACGAGGGGCAATAGGACCGCTTAGTGGGGGAGCCCCGAAATCGTCACTTGAGCGGCCCGTCTTAGCGAGTAAAGTAATAGCGTATCGCGCGTGTATCGAGACCTGGCAGGGAGCGAAGTCGAGAGGAGGACTACCGACTACTGTAAGTGAGCTCTTTCTTCCGTTTTCACACGGCAATCTAGATCTCGTCCGCATGATTATGTCGCGATCGACAGTGTAATATCGTGACTCGCTAACGCGCGCGAGAGAACCACGGGGGGGTTCGCCGGGAGAAATAGTATCGAGAATCCCGGGCAACTTTCCTCCCGGACGCAAAAGTAGCGCGCCTGCCACTCAAGTCCTTGTATTATATTTTGTTATCGGCGGTACCGTGGTACCGTCCGACCGCGTCTCTGTAATTGTCGTGTTAAACATCTGGAGCGGCCGCAGACCGCGTACGAACGAAGAATCTAAGATCCTGCCGGGATCCGGTGTTACCGAAGGCGCGGGCCGCGACGATAGTCGACCGCCGAATTGTTATTCCGTTGTTAACTGACCAACACCTGTTGTAACGCGGTCTCGTCAGAGGCCGGCGAGAGAAATGCAAAAAATTGTTATTCGATCTAGTAACCGATCCCGGGAAGTGGCTTGAGTTTATTTTACTTGTCTGTGTCGTCCGACGGGAATCCCTGTCGCGAGGGAAGTCTATCGTTCCGATATTTCCGAACCCTGGAAACCCTAGTTTTGTAGAAAATCCGGTGGTGGGTGCTTTCTTCCAGGTCGTTCGGTGGATTTCAACCCCTTCGTAAGGGCAGGTTTCGGTCCGATACTCGGGGAGTATCGGTCGGTACGTGATATCGTACCTGGCGCCCGGAAAAAGGTCGGCGGAACTCGCGGGGACGCGAACGTAGGCGAGGGACCGGGGAGGAAGCACTTTGTTCGTGCCGTGTAACGGCCGTGCGACCGGCCGAAATCGCGGTTAACGTAACAATGCTTACTAAGTACATTACACTATATAAACTGTCAACGAAAAATAATTAATATCTCCGATTAGTTAATATCAAGGAGGACGTAATTTTCAGTAAATCACATTAAGGTAAGAACATAACAGACAATGTAAAGGATAGACCTAACACCACAAACAGCGTATAAGCGCAGACGAGATATAAGAATTGGACATAGGTAATATGTAATGCATTTACGTGGCCAAATTCTCTGATGTTCAGAAACCATTATCATTTTAGTGTTAATACTTGACATTACCGATAACTCGAGACAGACGACATAGAAAATTAACGTCCAATATACATAATTTCTGTCACATGCTTCGGGGCTCTAGAGCCCCTTTACCATTTTAGTGTCAATACCCAACGTTACCGATAACGGATGAATTCTAAAACAGCAGGAACTCGTTTATTCAACACTCGGGGTTGTAGAGGGCTAAATTTTCAGAAATCTGATTAAACGAGATTCAATCAATATAATATAAGAATAGACCTAACATCTTATGGGACTTGGTGGAAACATGGGACAGAAAACTACATTGCATGTTAGGTCTATACTTATATCTCGTCTGTGATAATACTCCGTATTCATGCTTTATCGGTAACGTCGGGTAACTTATATGTACTGAAGTGGTAAAGACACTTATCGAGCCTTGGGAGCATCTGGCAGAAAATTACATATATTGCATTTTTGGTCTATTCTATGTCTCGTCTGCGGTGTCACTACTCACTGTTTTCATAGCGTAGATTCACAGTTCTTATAATGTTGAAATCGCAAAAATTACAGGTTTTTCTATGCGTCCGTACTACAGATTAGGGGGACCGCCAAGTTCTGTAAGGTGGCAAGTCTAGTCCTATAGAGTAGAAGCTTAATCATTTCTTTTGTAATGAAAAATATGTAAATTAAACGGGACACAGTATGCATTACATTACTTGCTTGTTGGGCGACAGAGTGAGGGACGTTCCTATGCTGCAATAAAATAGTCTACAATAAACGAGCTTCTACTGTAATGGTACAAAACTCGACGTTCGTTTCAGAAAATGTTTCATCACAGTGAGACCACCTGAAAGGTGTAGTTAACTCTGCCACGCAGCGATAGATGGTGCAGCAAGATCGCGTTGCCGGCAATGCTGTAACTCATTCCGCGTAAAGAACTCCACAATTTAAAACAGATACTGAATAAGAAGCATCTGACTTTTAAAAATGAATCACAATGTACAAAAAGAATGTATAATCTATATAGTAAATCATCGATGAATATTCGAAGGCTCCTCGGCATTGAACATTAAATATTTCGTAAACTAATAGTCATATGTCTCTGAAACAAATATCACCAGCTTCAGAATTCCAAGCTTTATCACTCTGCTAAACTTCATTAAAAAGCCAACATTACACCTGGTGATTTCTCCTTGTCAATGCCAAAGAGCCGTCGAACACTCATCCAGAATTTACTGTACACCCAAAGTGGCCATGTTAGCTCACCCCACAATACCCAACAGAAATATCGTCTGACACAAGGTTTCGAGCGTATTTTCCAGAAGGTAGGTCCGGATCGCGAACGCTGGAAGACGTTGGGAATCGGGCCAGGGAATAACGGGCGTCGCGGCGGGAGCAGGAAACGCGGGTACCGGATCGAACAAGAAGGCGAGCCGTAAAATAGCAGTCGAAGTGAAAGAAAACAAAGGAGAAAGCCACGGTGGGAATACAATATGCGATGTACATATATGAGTGGCCGTGTATCGGACGACAGGAGGAAAAGAAGAAGAACCGTGTGTATACGGTGGTAGGAACGCTCGGTTGTGAACGACCGGTAAACAATTAGTCGCGCCGTATGGCGATGAATCATTATTAAAGACGATGACGAGCCGACTGTCCTCGGCCGGCTCCGTTGTCCCGGTCATTCGAGCCGGTTCGTCTGGGGACCTGTTAGCATGCGACACATTAATTTGCGTAAGGTGTGTTTTCGGGTGCTACTTGAAAGGCAGCGGATGTGGGTGCGCGACAGAAAAGGAGATGACGGGCCAAAAGGCCAAGGGGGGGGGGAGGGAGAAGAGCACCGCTGCTCTGCCTCCTCATTTGCCTTTCAATGCCGGCTCCCTTCTTGTCATTGTGACAACGACGCGACCATTGTCGTGCCACCGTACACACCGTGTATTACCTACCTGTTCGTTCGTGTTCCCGCCGGCGTGGGTGGCGGCGGCCGAGCACGGCAGCAGGCTCGAATGAGAGACGCGCACGGGAACATCCAGAAACCGTGTTTTCGGCCGTGTACGCGCCCGTTTTTGTCGACGATTCACGGAAAAAATTGTAACTGAGAGTTGGAACCAGGGCTTGAAAACTGTTATGATTTCGGTTTAGGTTCTTGAAACAGTTATGAAGAACCTTTATTCTGAATAACTGTGACGAAGAACTTAAATTTCAGGCTATATAAGTTTCAGTTACGGTTCCTAGTATATCAGCTCCCATATCAGTATTATTTAGGTTCTATATCGGTTTTATAACAGTTATTTTTTAGGTTCTATATCAGTTCTGAATATATAGAGCCTAAAAAATAACTGTTATAGAATTGATATAGAACCTAAACAATACTAATATAGGAGCTAATATAGGAAACGTAACTAAAAATTATATAGCCTGAAATTTAGGTTCTTAGGTTTGTTAAGAGAACTCG